GGTACGTCTGACTGACAGGGATTGACCTACTCCCTTGAAGCTATCTGGTTGACTTGGAGTATGCAGACGATATTGTCTTGCTAGGTGAAGACGCTGATAAGACACACGGTCTTCTGAACGCGTATAGCGGAAATCTGTGTATACTTGGCGTTCGTTTCGCTGTTACCTGTCAAATGTAAGATGATGCTCCAGGACTGTTTTCCAACTACCCCGTTTACCTATAGGAAGTGAAGAGTAGTGGAATGTGTCGACCACTTCACTTGCATCAGCCCGAACGAGCTGGCGGCTGACAAAATCTCAGCTCGGATACAGAAAGCCTGTTTGTCATTTGCCAACTTACATCACTTGTGGCACCGACTGGCTAGATATTGGAATATCCATCAAAGGACGAATGAATATACTACACTGCAGTTCATTCTGTCCTATTGTGGAGCTGTAAGACATGGAGGTTAAAAGTAGAAAACATGAAGCGACTATAGGGTTTTGATCACAGATGGCTTCGTAGCATTGCTCGTATTTGGTGTGATCATCGCATGAGCAATGTAGAGGTCAGGCGAAGGGCACTGGGGAGGTCGATTGGTGAGATTGTAAACCTCAGTCGATTGAGATGGCTTGTACATGTACTGTCCAAGTCGATTTACCACCTACCTCACGGACTTTAATCTGGTGGCCTACACAACTCAAACCGATTGTCAAAGACTTCAGTGATTGGTACCTGGTTCCGGTCACCTATAGTCTTCTTTCGATGGAACCCTACTTCAGCTCACACTGCATTTCAAAGTAGGTGTTTCTTCGGTGTCCACAATTCATGTCCAATCCACCTCATTGACTGATTCGCTTTCCTTGTCCATCACTTTACTCCTGATGTTAACATCGTCCCCATTGTGATTCCATCGCATGCAAGGAGTTCTGAGAAGATACCACCTCTTCATTTTTTTCCACTTTCACCGGCAATGTATCAATGGTACTATGGAACAAAGGGGAATAAAGAGCATTTTACGCATTGTTTGATAAGCAGTCGAATACTTGGTCCGTGGCACAAATGGTAACTCAGTTAATACCTAACTGACTTTTGAATTCAATCTGAGGATTCATGAACAATCAGCCCATTCATTCTGATACAACTGCTCAAGTGAAGTGGTCAACACATTCCATAACCTCACTCTTTAAACTTGGAGTCCGTGCAGGCGGGTCCTAAAGCATCATCTTAAGCTTGACAGATGTAGAATGCTTGCCAAACATGCTCAAATTTCTCCTCAAAGTGTTCAGAAGACCCGGGACTGCGTACTCCAAGTTAACCAGATGACCTCCAGGAAGTGGATCACTCTCTTTGTAGTCAGACGAACCTAAGGTTATGTCCATTAGTACATATATAATAAATCCAAATAAGAAAGCCAACATAGGGCATTCCTAGGTGACACCCCTGGTTGTTGTCACTTAAGATAACTTTCCATAAATCTTTGTACAGCTGAGTTTGAGTAGGGAGCTTCGGTCAGTGTCACACACTTACTCGTTACTCCCTTTCCAGTCAGGTATTGCCATAGCACTTCACGATCGGCAGAGTCAAGTTGACACCTTCAGATCAAGAAGTATGACGTGTCGGCCCCCGGCAAATATATCTATACCCCAGAACATATCGAAGGTTGAAAATCTGAACGACGATGTACCCTCGTCCATCTCTGAACCTATCTGATTTGCTCGCGTTTGTTGTTGGACATCTGGGATCTCTGGTGTGACGTTATTCAAACTGATTCCCATATGGTTGTCCGATGATGACTTCCCTCCTTTCTGATAGACTGGAATGGCCAGTGAAGTAGACTAATCTGACGACAAAGCATCATATTCCCATAAACCACCAAGTACCTCTGTTACTCTATTTAGTACTTTTCTTACTCCTTCCTTAAAATCTTGCGGCGGCGAACCGTAAAATCCTCCTCCATTCTAAATTAGGGGAAGATTGGATAATCAACATCTACGTCCCATTGAGGTTGGGACTGGACAGTGTGGGCAACTGAGGTGTTCATGTGTGCCAATGGAACTGTGCTTCGTAGTGTTACGCCCAACCTTCTAGCCACCTGCTCGAAGACGTCATCAGCATCTCATCTTTCTCGGTGATGCTTTCACTGACGATAGTCTTCTTCTTGCTGGTTTCCTTAGTAAGCCTAAATAGTTGAGTGCTGCCTTCATCCTTCTCGCCTTCACCACCCACCACCGCTCGCAATCATTGTGAAGACTTCTGGTCAACTTATTTTTAGGTTGCTTTCGCTCTTCAAAGTGATCAGAGCCACCTGGAATCGGTCTTCTCGCATGGACCAGTTCAGATGATATCGCGAAAAACCAATGACGTTTGCGCTTACCTTTATGTGTAGGTTACCAACTGTCTTTATCGCTGTTTCTACGGTGAACTTAAAATCACGCCAGGTTTCCTCAGGATGAGCATTGCTGTTGCGTTCTCTTCCCTAAGTGTGAACTTAATGTTCTCACCTACCAATCGAGCACAGATGGGTCTTTCTACCTCCTGTTTCCTGCTACCAGTAAGGCGCAGACATACACGAGCCCACAGCAGCACAAGATGAGAGTTCAAATTGGTACACCAAAAAGAGCACCAATCCTCTCTAACGATGGATTACCGTAGTATGCCTCTGTGTCCATCTCTGGTTTGATGTCAGTGGACACCATTTGAGATAATATGTCTCCTTATACTTAAAGTTGTTATCGGCTAGAGACAAGTAGCCGTCAGATGAAGATTGTAGAATGATCATTTTCTAATGATCATTCTTGTCAGTTCCGAGTGAGGTTCTGTATATACCTCCAAGATGTCTTTCCGACGTACTCAGTTTTCCTACTTTGACGTTTAAGTCATCTGCTACAATGATTATATCTGAACATTCCTGCAGGAAAATTGACACCATTCCATACTTTGCATCATCCGAACTACAGTCGGTGGGTGTGTTGGTGAAGACTATGAGTCGGCATTGGTTGGTCTCGGGATCCTTCCTAGTCCTTGCCGATCCATTCAGTCGGACAGCACACAGACGACTATTGACTGGTATTTAGTCGAACGTGCGAACGTCACTGCGTTGGAAACTGTACTCAAACACATGTGGGCGTGTTATAGCCTATGGTGAGCTGTTAGATGAGCTGTGAACGCCGACTGGTGTCCATCGAGGATGCCCACCCTCTATTTCCACTCAATCATGTCATAGACGACCTTATGTAGGTCTCCCACTCATCATTTGACCTCACACAGATTGATCTCATCACACAAGAACCCTTAGTAGATCTAGAGTAAGCAGATGGTAGGTGAAGACGCTGACCAGATGCAGAGTTCAACGGACACCCTGACTAGCAGTTTGAGAATGTTTTTAGATGCACTTGTCGTCACCCAAATGAAAATTACGGCCCTAACACATGTCTTCAGTGATACCCTTCCTAACAGCAGTGAGTGAAATGGTTGAGTGCGCTGAACACACCACTCACCTTGGAAGTCAGAACATCCCTGGCGGGTTCAATTACTTATGAAATCTCTGCATGGATACAAAAGGCTCAATTAGCTTTGGCCAACTTACGTCATTTACAGCGCCACCGAGATATCCGATTGCCTATTAAGTGTTCAGAGTACTGCGCTGCAGTTCGCTATGTTCTACTGCGTGGTTATGAAATATAGTAATTAAAGGTAGAGGGCATAAAAAGGCTTCAGGTGTTTAACCACTGGCTAGCGCCTTCCTAGTATTGACCGTCTATCATAATGTCACCACGTCAGTAATGCAGGTTAAGAATCTTAGGGATGAGCCACGTAGGGAGATGGAGACCAGCCAGATGGGAGTAGACGTGACAAAAGAAACCAGTGGTTGGTGAAGTTTCTAGGTGATATAACTCTGATGCATCCACACTTCAGTTAAGGAGCTATAGTTAATTCAGCATTTTCTCATTCCTCCTTCCTCTTTTTTACTGGTTTCTTCTGCTTTTGATCTTATTGCTTGTTGGGCTAATATGAGGTGTGGCAGCCTATACTATTAGGCTGTAATGGCTGGTCTTATGTTGAGACTGATTGATTGAGGGTCATGTTAGGAAGCAACGAGTGGCTAGACTATAACCTGGTATTAGTTTATGAGATCGTAAACCATTGGTTTGGATAGTGTAGAAGAACAAAAGCTTTCTAATTATGATCCATCAATGTGAACTGATGAAGACAGACTCTTGGTAATGTGACTCAAAATCGAGGTATTTGCTGGAGATCTTTTCAACTGTTACATCATATTTGTGTTATTTGCTTTCATTTCCTTTCCCTTCGTCTTGTGTCTAGTAGAGAGCTTGATATATGAGGATATACGGCAACTCCAATTGTTATCCCAGTCATGTTAAACCCCATGTTGATACTGACTAATAGACGACTGACTCTAGTTGACTATCCTCAACAATGTAATCCATGTAACTTTTGCTGATAGATCTAGAAGAGCAATTAACAGACGGACAACTAACTCATGCTGCTAAATCCACCTTCAACTATTTATGATACTCCAAGAAAAGGAATAAATACTAACATAAACAATGAAGACGAAGTAAGCTGAGAAAAATAAACAGTGATCCTGCTCCAGTGGCCTAGTTTCAAGTCTCAACAGTGGGAATAACATCACTCACTAGGGTGTAGATACGGAACGCACATCCTAGATTCCACGGCTAGTCACCTAGATGAATACATCATGAACAGTGGTCAATAACTCTTAACTGTCCTGACATTAGTTAAATAACAGAAAACAGACAGATGTACCATGATATAGAACGTCCGAGACAGAAAATGTGTACTAGGACTTAGCGTGCTGTCCAAATCCTGTAACAACTCGATAATATGCTACTGACATAAGAGATCTTGCATCGACAAATTTCTTTCAGGAAAAAGATAATTCTACCGTCTTCCAAGTAAGTGCATAATAATAATTCAAAATAGTTTAGCTCCAACTTATGTGATATTCTGACGAATGTTTCACTAAAAAACTTACGTCTATGGACAACACGTCTAGATGATTTGTGTTGACTCTTGTCGTCTTCACTTTCAGAGTTATTATTATTATTATTATTACTATTATTATCATCATCATCATGAAATCGCTCATTATTGGCATGATCATGATCACTGTTTTCACTTTCTCCAGAAATATACTCTGATTTCTTCGCTTCCACAGGTGATGATTCGCCTTTTTTGAATACTCTTGCCTTTACAATTGTGTCTTTTGCAGAGGAACGAGAAGATTCGTTTGTTCTGTTAGATCGGAAGGTGCGTGAATGTGAATGTTGTCGGTGTTCATCAGGTGAGTGGGAAGAAACATTTGACGACTCATGTCTATGATACTTTTTTGGCCGGCCTCCACGTAGATCCACATGGCGACTATGCTTGGGGAAATCGTAAGTGTTATTATTGCCAGATAACACAGACCCTAAAGAGGTCAAATCCGGTGGGATACCTGAATTGTTAGCAGCGGCTGCTGCAGCCGCCATGGCAGGTAGTAATTCAGCATTCGGGTAACTAAAGAAAACAAAACATTAGGAATCAAATAATATATGATATGTCTTAAGCAATAGTATTATTTCAAAGTTTGATAACATACAATTGCAACTCCACTGGGACTAAGTGTCTTCAAGTACACAGCTACGAGTTACACCCATTATGACGGCTTAGGATACTACCAGGTTACTCAGGTTGAAGTGGAGCAAATTTTGGACATTGAACCCGCTGATCGCAAGTTAAGTAGGTGTGTCAATAAACCATAGTCTTACAACATCACACTAAAGCCAAAAGTAGAGTCAGTAACAGGCATTATTTAGTACATAGGACACCAGAAATACACAAATAAATACTCCTTCATAAGCCTCAAAGAATAACCATATGATTATTCTGAGTTCGTTGGTTGTCACCAAGTGATCATTACTTACAGTGATGAATAAGACAAGGAATTGCTAAGTTACTCTAAGTGTAAGAAATTTCAGTGGGATCCAGGTACATCCAGCTGATTAGTGAGTCCTAAATAGGAAGAAACGCGCGTCCTGGATTCCACTGTTAGCCACTATCCACCATTCATACAAAACTGAAACAAAGGCAACATCGAGGCATCCGCATAGGAGCCCATCTGACAACGCTGACCGATCAATTAGGTCTACTCAACGACGGGATAATACAAGCAACAATACAAGAGATTAAATGAGTCACGAATAACGTTCGATCAAGAAGCATACGTTCCTTCTCGACTCCATGTGACAAGTCTACGACTACTATGTCAAAGCCATCTACCTACCAATTGAGAGAGGAGCTACGCTTTTTCTCAAGAAATCATGGAAAAAAGTCTACATCAATAAAAGAACCAGTCACTTTTGCATGGAGTCTCCTGCCTATAGGATATGAAAACCCAAACAATAAGACGACGACTGAAATTTTTGAACAGATGCATTATATGACGAATTCATGCCAAGCACACAGTTTACGCAAACAAGAATACAGCCCAAAGCAAAAGTTATCATTCCTTATTTCCTTGCCTCCTGAGATCAAATAAATTTCTTGTTGATAGGACAGTGAACTGAAGTGGGAAAATTTTTTGGAGCGAAAAAATTGGCTATTTCTCCCAACTGTAAAAATTCTGTACAAGTGACCCAATATAGACCTAAATAAAACATCTGTTCACAATAACAATAACCTTAAGAACGTCTGACTTTACAGAAATTGTTCCATTCACTGGGGGCATCCCGTTAACGACGGTGTCCTGTTAGGTGAAGACGCTGATAAGACACACGGTCTTCTGAACGCGTATAGCGGAAATCTGTGTATACTTGGCGTTCGTTTCGCTGTTACCTGTCAAATGTAAGATGATGCTCCAGGACTGTTTTCCAACTACCCCGTTTACCTATAGGAAGTGAAGAGTAGTGGAATGTGTCGACCACTTCACTTGCATCAGCCCGAACGAGCTGGCGGCTGACAAAATCTCAGCTCGGATACAGAAAGCCTGTTTGTCATTTGCCAACTTACATCACTTGTGGCACCGACTGGCTAGATATTGGAATATCCATCAAAGGACGAATGAATATACTACACTGCAGTTCATTCTGTCCTATTGTGGAGCTGTAAGACATGGAGGTTAAAAGTAGAAAACATGAAGCGACTATAGGGTTTTGATCACAGATGGCTTCGTAGCATTGCTCGTATTTGGTGTGATCATCGCATGAGCAATGTAGAGGTCAAGCGAAGGGTGTGAAGACTGTATACAATGGTGTATAAACCACTTCAACTATAAGCAATATTTCCTTTTCATCGTTTCTTTTACAATTTCTGTGCATTCTTCCTAATACTTGTAAAAACGAATGTTGTTTATATGTACACTTTTTTGGTTGTGGCGGTAATTGCATCTTTTGCTGCTGCTAATCGTGGAAATATAATGTGCTTCTAACCATTCCGACTTCTGCCTCCGTGACTATTGCCTGTCGTGCATAATAACTGATTGTCTTGTGAATTTACAGGACTTCTCATCCTACTTCCAAATATTACGACAATCAAGCCGACCGACGACCACAGCGGAGAGACAACAAATATCGCCTTCTGATCTCTGGAGTATCTCAAAATTGTGGTGGACAATACCGAAGAGATAACCTCCAAGTAACCAGTGATTATCTATAACATTGACAATACTATTTATGCTATAACGTATGACTTTTTATATATGTGTATCATAAAATCCCTTTTTCTTGTAAATTGTACGTAGTTTGTCATTTTGGTTTACTTGACATTCTTTGGGTCCACTACAAGGGTACTGGGGAGGTCGATTGGTGAGATTGTGAACCTTAGTCGATTGAGATGGCCTGGACATGTACTGTCCAAGTCGATTCACCACGTACTCAACGTGCTATTCTAGCAGGAGTTGGATTAGGCTGGAAGTGAGTTTAGAGCGGCCAGATCAAGACGTGGCAGAGGTAGACGAAGCCTCCTACTGTTGGTCTGAGTTGCGTTGGGAGACACAGACTGTCTTGTTGTGGTCATCGAGACGAAAGGAATCAGTGGTTGAAGACTGTTGGTGACATGGCTGAAAATCGCTGTGGCGGAGATGCATTCACTTCTTGACATCTAAAGCTTGAATATTTGCAGTACGGTTATCTTCAGATTGTTTATTCTCTTATACTACTTTACGCACTTAGATTACACTCCTTTTTTGTCCACTTGTTTTTTTGTGTACTTCTGTGCCTGTGGTAACTTGAGCCGATGCACCTGTGTGAGTTCAACGATCATTCTGCCTGTCTTTAAAAAGTGTACACCGGAAGGTCCTTAGGCTATCTTGAGTGAACTACCATGCAATGGCCCACCAGGTTTTTAACTTGCAACAAAGGGAATATATGCACAGTTGATGTTTACATAGATTTTCATCCAAGATCAAGCATCTGGAAGTCATGAAATCTCTAGAAATAATGACTATAATCGGCGATTTAGCACTTTAAATTCTAGACACCATTCTCTGAAGAGAATTCTGTTAAAAAGCGATGTTCATGTGTTAACTGAAATAACGTGAGCTGGAACACAGAACACTATCGACATCTTCATATTCAGTATTGTTTATTTGTTTCACTTTTATGATTCTACCTAGCTGTTCTACTTTGAAACCACAACTTATTAGTTGAAAGTCGAGTGACTAAACCAATGAATCACAGTTCAAGAGGTATAAAAACTCTTAGAAAAAATAATCTTCGATAACCAAACAGTAGACTTGTTAACGTTATTCTCAAAATGAATACTGACTACAATACGTAACAACTCAAGAATTTGACAAATTACTACTTACTTTGACAATGATAGAGCAGTAGCTGTATACGTTCTGTAGTATTGTTGATACATATGATTGTAATACATCATGAGTAATTGTTCGTTATTCAGATCTTGGTTAGTATTATTAAAATCTATTTTGTAGTTTTTAAATTTATTGAATACAGCTGTTTGACTGGCATCATAACCATGAAACCGATTACCATAACCATGTAGTGGTCGAACATTACCACTTATTGAAGGATTTCTGGATAGACTTGTCACTTTACGAGGAATAGTTTTATTTATGCCCACATGCCATTCTTCATCAGAATTGTGACCTTCTGTACTAGGATATCCATAATTGGGACTTGACTTTCTGACTCGTTTGTGTTCTTCCGGCTGATAGTTGACTACATTACTGCTACCGCGAGAATTGTATCTTCGTTTAATGCCAAGTCTTAAGGAAGGATCATGCTCTGTATCACGTACATGAGGTCGCCTCACATCCGTTTTTCCTATATTTGCAGATTCATTGTAACATTTTCGGAGTTGTAATTTATGCCGCGCATCTGAAGGAAGCAGAGGGACGTGCGAACTTGATGAGTAAGGCATATGACGAAATTCTGAGAATCTGAAAAATGAAACATATCGGAATCTCAACACACTACAAAAAAAATGAACAAACTACCTGTAAGTAAAGCTGGAATATCCAGAGTCAAAATATTAGATCGTACTAATGAAAGCATTGATTCGGGCATACCACATAATACAACACGAAGTAGCAAAATACAAACAAGCTTATGAGGAGCAATGTCTATTGATTTTTTTATCTCAATATTAACATCACTTAAGACTGAGATTACGATTACTATTAGAAGACAAACATAGTATAGTAAGAGTATCAAGAAGTGAGCCACACAATATCAACATTAAACAAACATAAAGCGAAGGGAAGTGGACGAATAAAAAGGCAACAAAATAAGAACAATCCAGTAAGATACATTCAAAACAGAACATTCATTACTGTTTAGTAACAGAAGATAGGAGGAAGTTACAGTATGACCAAAACTGGTTTCGATTCTCAGCCATATCTGATACCGTCTCAAGCTACGGAATTGCATAATCTCTCTGATCACACCCATGGTGTCATGATGCAGCAACACATGCTAACCCAATACAACTATCCCCCATCGCATGGTGCCACGTTATACACTCACCACACCGCTTCTTCTATCTAGTCCCAGGGCTAGCAAACAGTGAATGGTATGGAAGCCGTTGACACGACATGTATAACACATATCCAAGCCACCGAAGCCGGTGTTTTAAGATGACTTCATTCAGTGAATGACGATCTCCATCATGTCCAAACACATGCTGACGTACCACAGAATACGAGCAGTCTTACGGAGAAGACGATGATAGAACACAGTCGTCGTACATCCTCAGCTTGGAGAGAACAGCTTTCACAAGCACCCAGCAGAACTGGTCACATTGAAGCGTTGTAAACTCGACCTTCACGACCAGACTGATGTCACGACGGCGAAAAAGGTGATCCAAATTGACTTTCGATATGCGGTTAGAAATTTCATCACACACCTCAACCAGCATTCACACGACTATCCAGATACAAGAACCTTTCTACTACTTCTAATAGATCACCATTGAAGGTGAGCGCAGGTACAGACTCCTGAAAATCTTGCCAAAGTACTTTGCACTTTGATGATGCAAAGATATACCATACTTACAGACACTAAGACGCATGAAGTCCTTAAATAACTTATAGTCAAAAACATAAACAATCATACTGTAAGAAAATAAACGTATCTGGGATAACATCCGAAATATAAACAGTTTAAGCTAAGTAGCACTATTTCCCAAACCCAAGTCAATATATTTTTGAATTATATTTTCGATAGTTGTCACGGTCTAAAGGAACAACACATGCCACAAATCTAAAGGTTGCCGACAAGACTAGAAAAAAAATTGGAGTCACTAAAATGATATTATATCTACCAAGCGTATAAAAATGCATACATATACAGGTTTTCAATTACACAAAATTTACAATGACTTGATAAAAATCGAAGCGCACTCAGCAACCTTTAGCACTTAGTTCAGTAGACAATGAGCCACATTTATTGTGCAAAGGCTAGTGATACTACCTGGCTGTCCGCATCTTGGTACGTGGAGCATAACTCAAACCCGTAACCCGTTTGCTGAAAGCTATCTCTCTAAGCCAATGAGCCACAGCTGCACTTACTATCTGACTTTAGGATGACATATAATCACAGAACCGTTACTATAAATTAATGGGGTTTTCATTTATTGAAGACGGAAACGTCCCTAGATAATCCACTAGAAATCAGAAATAAACAGAATGGATTGATGGCTTGCGGGAATTGTTTCATTTCAAGATAGTTTTCATCACGAAACGACACCAATGAGAGAACTAATGAAAACCTGGAAGTACTGAATAGCTGTTTTGTTTTAGCTTGTAACTATTCAGCAGTGCACATCCACAGCTCCGCAAGGAAGCGAGACCAAGAACATCGTTTCGTAGCGAACACACATTTACCTACTTCTGTGGGACCCTTAAAGATGAACTTTCTGAAGTGTTAGTGAAAACTATGACCCATGGAGTGAATCACTTCAGATGTGTGGACAAATACTTGCCAATTGCATTGGATGGTGGCTGCTATATATAATGAACTGATAGGAGCAAGGAAATGTGAACCAAAAGATTCCAACAGCGGTCAAAAATGACAACCCGCTCGCCACAAGACCACACGGTTTTGGGGACAACTCCCATGTGGGGCTGTAGGCGAGTAATGCTAAGTTCCAAATTAAGATGAAACACATGTCTAGTGCTTTTAGGTTTTCAATAGTTCTCCAAATGATATCAGCTCGTGATGAAAACTAACTTGAAACCAACCACTAGATTGCAAAACCCAAGTATTTTATCCACTCAAAAAAAGGCTACTGACAGAACAATGGGGGCTTTTCTACTGGTTCTCGATCTTTAGTGAAACAGATGAGAAATCAAGACAAACAATAAAAAGATGAGAAGCAACCGACATGAAACCAGGAAACTCAACACAACAGAATTAGTTGATTCTACAATTTTATTCCATTACATGCATTTTGGTACGACTAATGACAATCGACCGACCGATAGCTGCTACCTTGACGTGGTGGTCGGGCTTGCATATCACAATGACCCAACGAGCTATGCTGGTGGAACGCTTGTTCCCTCGAGGTCCTACCATACCAGAAAGGTCTGTTGGGTAGTGGTTAGACGAAAAGCAGTTACCGTTATAGTGTAAATTGCTACACTATGATGGGGGTCTGAGGGCGAAGTCGTACTGCTGCTAGCTGGATGGGGTGTGACAGCAGTAAGGTGTTTCCCTTGGATGACCAGCAGTGCCATGCTGATGCTGCCTTCTCAGTGGAAGGGGGGGTTAGAAAAGGTCGGCCCCAAAAATAACACACTCCACCACGCCCCACGGTCTGCCGGGCCGGCGGTGTTGGTTCACTTGTCGTTTCCTTTCGCTCATCCGGCCCCAAAAATACAAAAATTCAAAATAATCATACTCAAAAGGCTGGGTGTGACAGGCCTCAAGCAGATGTCCGATGGGCTCTGCGGTCACACAAATCTCTTTCAGGTACCTTAAGAAGAAATAGCCTTCCACGGTGTGGGCAGCCGGGAAGTGTCAACCGCCCTCACAACTCTGTCAGCACCCAAGTTTCTTCTGACTGCTATCCTCCTCCTCCATCATTACCTTCTAATCTTCCTTCACGTCTCTTAATTAATGATGCTGCATCATCTTCAATTTCTCCTACCTCTGCAGCCTTCGACAACGATCTGAGTCCACAGAACAGCGTCCCTGGTCTCCTTAAACCACGCTCCAAATTACATATTGGAGCCTTCAATGTCCGCACCCTCCGTCAAATTGGCCAACAGGCTTCGTTGGCAAAGACTCTAGCAACTCGAGGCATGGATGTGTGCTGTGTTTGTGAGACACGCATACAGGACCCAAGTGTGGTTATTCACCTGACCTCTCCTGACCAATCTGGTGAATCTGCAAAATTCACCCTTCGAGTTTCTGGAGATTCGATAGCTAGCTCTCGTGGTCTTGCAGGTGTAGGTATAGCATTAAGCACCAGGGCAGAAAACTCACTACTAGACTGGATCCCAGTTGATAGTCGCCTCTGCGCTATGAGGCTGAACGGCACAGTGAGAACTAAAAGGAATAGTGAGACTCGCCGTTGTCTCTTTGTAATCTCTGCTTACGCACCCACTGACTGTAGTTCGGATGAAGTGAAGGACGAGTTCTACCATAAACTGTCTAACCTCCTCTCGAAAGCCAAACGTTCGGACGTAGTGGTTGTTGCAGGTGACCTCAACGCACAGGTGGGTAGACTGAGTGAGGCAGAAAGGCACTTAGGTGGCACTTTCGGAATCCCAGCTGAACGTACAGATAACGGTGATCGCCTATTACAACTATGCTCAGATAACCGCCTATTTTTAGCCAGCACAAATTTCAGACATAAAGAAAGGCACTGTCTGACCTGGCGTCCACCGAGCTCGACTCAGCGATGGACACAGATAGACCACATTGCTATTAGTCATCGCTGGAGAGGATCGGTGGAAGACTGCCGCTCCTTCTGGAGTACGTGTTTGGACAGCGATCATGCGTTGGTCCGAGCACGTATATGCCTGCGTCTCAATGGACGTAGAAAAAATTTGGCAACAAAACCACTACGAGTTCTGCTGGACAACGAAAACACCAAAGCCGTGTTCAGTGAGAAGTTGGCTAGGCAGTTATCGGAACAAAAGACTGTCACTCATCCAGAAGAAGCTTGGTGCCATCTTCAGTCTACTGTAAAAGCAGCACTGGAGACTGTAGCCGACTCCAAGATAATGGCTAAAAAGAGCCAGTGGATATCAGCAGCTTCTTCCAAACTAATGGATGCACGTGAATGCATCCCTGCAGGCTCTGAGTACAATGAAGAGCGAGCGCAACTTAAAAATAAACTGACGAAAAGTCTGCGCAACGATCGTGAACAGTGGTGGGCAGCAAAGGCTAAAGAGATGGAAAAGGCAGCGGCGATCGGTAACAGTAGACAGTTATTTAGACTTATTAAGGAGACTGGGGGGAAATGGTCAACAACAGTTAGTGAGGTTATAGCGGAGAAGGACGGATCGGCGATTCACTCGCAGGGAAGGCGACTGGGACGATGGGCAGAACACTTTGAGGAACAGTTTAACTGGCCTCCAGCCACCATTGCGCTGCCCGCTATCCAGTCGGACCCTGAATGGGACATAGAGACAGGTCCCCCAACACTAGAAGAAGTTGAGAAAGCGGTAGGTAGCCTGAAACGGGGAAGGGCAGCAGGACCAGACGGACTACCTGCTGAGGTATACAAGAATGGTGGTAGAGTTCTCTTAGTCAGGCTAACGGAAGTGTTAGCCAGTATATGGGAATCAAATACGATCCCCTCCGACTGGTCTAAGTCACTCATCATCCCAGTCTTCAAGAAAGGCGAGAAGTCCTCTTGTGATAACCACAGAGGAATCAGCCTGACAAACATAGTGTCTAAGATCCTAAGTT